CAGATCAATACCTGGGGAGCCAGAAATAAAATACCGTATTTAATTTCTGAGCAATCCAGAGAACCTGTTGTATAGGTCAATTACAGTGTTTTTAAAGAAAAGACTTTGTTAAGTGCTCCGTTCCCATTTCTAAAGAAACCAATGTGTGAAAAAGGAAGGAACAAACAGGTCGCACACATACAGAGACAGAGATCACATTTTTAAAGGCTGAATTGAGTCCTTAAACACAGAAACAACTGAGGACTAGGTCCCAAAGAAGATCCATTTCTTTCTGCAAAACAGCTGGAGCAATTGCCGAACCAGAGCTGCACAGCTTGGAAAGCGTGAACTATCCACCATTCAAAGCCACCCTGTGAGGGCGGGGCGCGTGCGATTCCTTGGTCCCTCGGAGCAAACCGGGGAGATGGACGGAGAGGTGGCTACGGCATGGCAGTCCTCTTAACTATTCTCCCTTCTTTATCAATGGCAAAATTATAATTGTGCGTATTGTTCAAACATTCCTCGATCCGCTGATCCAAGTTTTCCAGGGTGATGAAATTCTTGGATTCTTCCTGTAGCAACAAAAGGAGAAAGCAAGAATGAGATCGAAGCTAACCAATGCCAGAGTGTGCTCACTCTGAGCCGTAATGCTCAGAGTGGAGAGAATTTGAGAGAGGACTTTATAAATCCCTCTTCCTAGTTTTAAGCCATTGTTGCAAAACAGTGGCTAACAACGTCAGATAATTCAACCAGTAGCTGCTTCCTTCTGAAATCTCTCTGAAATATCTGTGGTCAATCGAATTGAACACAGCAGGCCATCCCTGGTTGATCTTGAAAAGCTAAACAGGCTCAGAACTGCTCTGTATGTGGATAGGAGACCACTAGGGAATCCCACAACTGTAGGCTAGATTGGGAAGTTGGGGGGGAAGCATTCTGGATGAGGGCAACCAGAAACCACTCCCTGCCAAAAGAAAGGTACATGGGTGTGTCCATGAAATCACCAGGAGTTCTGACATCTAAACAGTAGAGGCAGGAAGAGATTGGCCCTGAAGGAGAGTTCCAGTCAAGATGACGGTCCAGAGCCTTTGGGCTTCCTTACCTGCAGCTGGAGCACCTCCTTCTCTTTCTTCTTGAGCAATTCCTCCTGAAGGGCTGACTGGCTTTGGTCATACTGCAGCTGCCGGGCTTTGGCCATTAATTCTTCCTTCTGGAGACGCTCCATCCTAGTGCAGGAACAGGGAAGAAAGAGAGCGCTTGCTGTTCTCAGCGTGGCAAATACAGAAATAGCCTCCTCTCCTTGTCCCGCCAGTGGCCAGGAAAAAAGATACTGCTAACACGTGGACTGAGGCAGGTGCATGCTGAATTTACCTTCGCTCGAGTAAACGCTTGTTTTCTGCATCATTCCAGGCCATTAGAAGTTGGTGTTCCTCCTCCTCAGCTTTCTTCTTCAGCTTCGCCGTGATCCCATACTTGATATCATAGTTTTTCTGCCTTAGCTCTTCCTTCAGCTCAGTTCTAACAGGGAGCACAGGAGGGAATGTTAAGTGACCCACAAGATATCATCACCAGGCTACGAGACACCTCTAGCATTTCAGCACCCCTAAGCACTTTCATTTCTAGCTCTCTCCCACCTAAATTAACCAACTACAGTAGTCCTCACTTACCGACTGCCTTGTTCAGTGACCATTCGAAGTTACAATGGTGCTGAAAAAATAACCTTACGACCATTTACGACCTTCGCAGCATCCCTCAGTCATGGAATGACCATTACAGTCAGTATTCATTGTCCTGTGCCTGACCTGGTTTTTTTTTTCCTTATGCGGGGCTCGGGAGAGAGGAACAGATCAGGCACAGGAGAGATTGCCTACAGAAATTGCTTGGTTTTTTTTTCTCCCCCACCCTCACAGTGTGGAGAGACTGAAGAGGAAGGGATTACAAGAGAGTAAGCAGGCACACAATGGGGAATACACCAGCTGTTTCCATAGCACGGTCACAGCTGCCAGCGCCAGCGCATTCCTTTCAATGTGTATTTCCCACTTTGTGCCTGCTTACTCTCTTGTAATCCTTTCCTCTCCAATGAATGCAAATACAAATATTAATTCCCTTCTTGCTAATTATCCCAGCACCAGGGTGAGCATTCCAAAAGGCTGGGGAGTGGTTAGGAGGCAACAAAAGCCAGGAGCGTGAAACTGATTAGCCTTGTTCATTTTGAGTGGGAAAGCACTCTTGTGGTCACATGATTTCCCACTTAGCAACTGGTTGACTTAGCAACAAAGTTGCCTGTCCCAACTGTGGTTGCTAAACGAGGACCACCTGTATGTAACCACAACAGTAAAGGCTGAACTGCAATAGGTCCCTGCTAAAATATTCTTTGATCATAAGCTTTTTATTGATCATAAATCTCATTACTCAGAGGACAGGAACATATTCTTTCTCTTCCCCCACTGTGTTCACAAGCATTTTGGCTCTGAAAGGTCCTGATCTGCTCCTTATAGTATCCTCTGAATTAAGAAAACCTGTGAGATGCTGCCAATAAAGTCCTGGATTCCTGGTCTAGGTTGATGTCACCATTCCCCCAAGAAGCCCACAGCTGATAATAGCACAGACTCTCCTTTCTCAGCCTAACCTCATTCAGAAGATCGTTGCCAGGACAAAACAGGTGAGCATTCAATGCTGTGGACAGACAAGGAGGTGATGGGCCGGTGAATGAATTTCTTTGGATAGCCGGGTCTCCCTTGCTCCTACAGCAATCCCATTAAACAGAGCGTAGCGAGGCGCACATCAGCGGATGAGAGCACTTGACATAAGCTGGACTTGATGGTTAAGCCGGGTGGGGCCCGGTTAGTACTTGGGGAAAACCTTCCGCGGAATCTCAGGGTCGGGGGCAAGATTGGCAAGTTGGCAACGCAGCCCTGAAGAAGGCAGACCGCTTCCTGAGGAAGTTACACGGAAATGCCCATTAAGTTGCCAGCAGACTTTCTCCCGGGAGATCCGGGGACGCCCGCCAGCCAAATCTGGGCCCGACCTTACAGACCCCGACGCCGGAGGACCGACTCTGACGCAAAGCCAGAGGGCAAAAACGCAGAGCTGCGCACGATCCCACCGGGGCCCCAACTCCTGAGGCGCCGCCTCACTTCAGGAGCACGGAAGGG